GACGAAGAAGTTATACGCTAAATTCTCCAAGTGCGAATTCTGGATTCGAAAAGTAATTTTCTTGGGTCACGTGGTAAGCGAGGAAGGCATACACATGGACTCCTCCAAAATCAAAGCGATAGAGAACTGGTTAGCACCGAAGACTCCCACAGAAATCCGTCAATTCTTGGGTCTCGCTGCTATTACCGCAGGTTTATCCAGAATTGCCAAACCCTTAACCACTCTGACTCAGAAAGGTGTACCCTTTTGTTGGAGTGAAAAGCAAGATACTGCGTTTCAAACATACTTGTTTTTCAATTTGATTAATAACTTTTTCGAAAATCAATAAATCAATCAATTAAATGCGATTAGAATCTACAGAATGAACTAAAATAAATTGTTGATCGAACTAACAATATTATTTATTGTATTTCATAATGCATTACTCATTTTCGTAGCATATCCTAAAATTTCATTGATAATACAAACTTTGATTTCGACAAGGAACTAGAATCAGTTTTTGATAGAATTGCGGAAGATATTATATAGAATTGAAATGAGACTATTTTAAGAAAGATAAACAAAAAGTCATGATTTGTCAACTTAAAGAAAAGATTGAACGAAAGCAAAATTCTAATATATTATAAATACGACCAGAGTTTAATTTGATTAACAGATATTACAAAACTTTCCTTGAACGAATTTAGTTATACAATTATAAAATGTAAAAAAGAAAAATGAATTTATAAGAGGTTCGTTGGTTCACTCATGTTAAAGTAGTTTGTTATTAAACATCAAAGTATATATATATAGATATATATATTACGTCTAGCCATGCAATGTTGAAAGTGGGAGGGGACTTGAGTAAATTTGATATATACAACACTTGTGAACTTAATCCTAGCTATCTATTTTAAAGATAAAAAATTATTTTTAAAATGTAAAATAATTGAAAATTTTTGAATATATATTTTTTTTAATATTATTTCAGTCATTTATATTTTCGACAAAAATAATTAAAAATAAAAAAATTATCGTTTTTTTGAATTATCTGTGAAATATTTTAATAAAATATTCTACTATAAAAATTACAACAAACTATTCGAATATTCACATATTCTACTAGAAGATAAGACTACAAATATTTAAACATTTTTAATAGAATATTAAAACATTCTACAAATTCTAACAATTTAAAATGCTAGAATATTTTAATATATTTAACAATCTTACTAGAAAACTAGAATATTCTAATATTTGAAACTTCAATTTGAATATTTACAATGTAATATTTTAATTCAATATTTTACATATATTAGAAAAAAGGTAAATTCTTTTTTTTTGGTAAATCAAATGACGAAAATAATAATTGAAAAAACTATTTTTAGAATTTTACTTTTATTTTGCATTTTAAATTTTTTTATTTTTATTTTTTTGATCTCAAGATAAGTAGTTAGGATGGTATCACTATATTTTATAAAACTAATATATATATATATATATATATATATATATATATATATATATATATATATATATATCAAATACCTTATAAAATATATTTGGTCAAATGTTAAATCTTAAGTGGTACAAACCTTATTGCCATAGATTCAATCAATTTATGCATTAAAAATTACTGGTCAACAGAATTAAACACATTTTGAATATGTCTCCGTTCTTATCTTAAAATTGAATCGGTAAAAGATGAACATATATTCTTCCCGCTACTGGAATGCCTTATAAAACCACCTTCAACCGTTAGTCTTTAAGAAACCCTAAAATACTCTGCCCCAAAACACAACCTCCACTGCCACCATTCACCCGCCATACCGCCACTATCACATACTTTTGCAAACACTGCCATGATCTACATCTCACTAATAATTATGTCCACCGCAATCACCACCCTAGAGTGGATGGTCCTGAAATCCATCACCTTCTTCACCATGCTCCATAGATATCCTTTTTTTGTCATAGGCTTATGACCAAGTCGAGCTCTATCTCTTCCCCTTATATCATCCATTTGGTTTTTATGTTTCAAGGTGCCATCTCTTTTATTTTATATTTTTGCTTCAATATATTGCACATTACATTTAAAGCTTTAATATTTCATATGCCATAAACCTCTAACGATTACACAAATATTGAAGATAACATATTAGTTTTTTATTTCTATTACCAAGATCAACAAAGTAGAACAATCAATGAAAAAAGGACCATCGTTTCCTCAGTCAGGTTTGTGTTCTTCTCTCTCCTTTTCCCTAATCCTAAAGAACCTTCAATCATCTAATTCCTTCACCAATTACACCCGCTTTTCATTTTGATTCAAGTACCAACGAATCTGTTTTGCTTTGATTTCAGATGGTGAGGATCTACCTTCCGTTCCATCATTATTGTTCAATGTGATGAAGGAATTGATAGCCGAAAAACGAAGCAGTAGTTACAGGAATGTATGAATCATATGTTTTTTGCTTTAATATGTTTACGCTTTACATATACAAATAGGCTTAGAAAATTAGATAATCTTTAAAAAAATTGATTGTTTGTGAGTGTGTGTGTATATGTAGATGCTCTTTAATTGATTTTAATTCAATGGAGATTCTTTAATTTTTAAAGTCAAAAACATATCACTTCATATCTTATGACCAAATCCTCTTTACATTATTTTATTTTTTATTTATTTTCTTCATTTTGGAATATCTATTTTTTTTGCTGTAAAAAACGACTGAAAAAAAAAAATGGAAAGGTCATTTATCCTTTAATATCGATAGCATGGGAAAGGAACAGTATTGGTTCAATGGCAGTACACATGACGAAGTTGGTATCCTTACCATTCACAATCCACCCTAGAAGCCAAATTTAGAAATATTTTGACTTTCTTACCATTCATTACATTTCATCTTTCCAAGTACCAACTCGGAAACAAAAAATAATTGATGTCCCTAATTAGTAAGTCTTGGTATTATTTTTATTCTCGAACTCGAACTGCCTTAAGCAGTTCCGGTTCTGGTCCCTAAAGTTATGGAACCGTCTTAAGCGGTTTCGGTTCCAATTCTCATTTTTTTGGAATCGCTACTCGCTCGGTACCCGCCGAAACCAGTTTATATATATATATATATATATATATATATATATATATATATATATATATATATATATATATATATATATATATATATATATATATATAAATATATATATATATATATATATATATATATATATATATATATATATTATATTAGTAATTCATATAAATATGTGTGTGTTACTTAGACCGGTTTAGAATATATTGGTCCGATTTTGTCCCTCTTTAGTTCGAATTGATTCGATTTGGATCGAACTAGGTTGTGATTTTATCGAAAAATTTAACAAAGTTAATGTAATCGGGTTACCCGCTCCTGGAATCGGAACTGCCGATTCCGGGACTGGTTCCAAAAATTTAAGAACCACCTAGAGCGGTTTTGGTTTCGGTTCTAACTTTGTTCTCCCCAAATGAGGCGGGTACTCATCTATGCCCATCCCCATATGTACGTATATGCTCCAAAATTGAGGATTTATGTTGGTAATTTTTAATTTATGATCATTTTATATGGTTGCGGACCATTAAAAATGAATAATAATGCGGTATAGAAATTGAAACACACTTTCTTTTGTATAAAGTCGATCCATGTTGTGCTATTCATAGGTCAGTTTCATCAAGTATGATGCATGCTTCAAAATTATTGTTTATCGAGCTAACTGATATAAATTAGTGTTAATCATAACCTACTTAAGTTTAATCAAATTTAGAAGTTAATTTTCAATGCCAGGTTACTTTCTATCAATGTGTACATAACATCAATTTTTTATATAACTCTTGTGTATTAATTACCATAAGTTTCTTTGTGTTTTATTAACTTAATTTTTTTGTTTTTGGGATCTGTATTGATATTAGATTTTCCTGATTGTTATATCATATATATGCATGTAGCCACACATTTATGTCATATCTTCATCTAGATAAGACTGAAAGGCACATGAATCAATTCAATAATTTTTATTATAATTCTTATATTTTTTTGTTTTGATGATAAAATCATGGGTAAATTACACCGTTGGTCCCTCGTGCACATACCAGAAAGCATATGTAGTCCCTATTTCCAAAATTTAACTCGTGCAGTCCCTCGTTGTTATTTATTTTGCATGGTTAGTCCCTATGCACGTTAACTGTTAAATCCTTCCGTTTAAGCTACCCACGTGCCTTGCACGCAGGGGCATTTTCATCTTTTTAGGGTTTGTGTCCATATTTAATGTCGTTACACCTTAAATCTTATAAAGAACACTGCAACCCTCTTTTCCTCTGCTATCCTCTCGTTCGTCTCTTCCCCTCGTTCGATCGATTTCTTCCAAATACATAACAATGATCGATATTAAATGCAATTGTGGAGCCACTGCAGTGATTCGCACATCTTATAGCAAAAGAAACCCTGGGAAACTCTATTATGCTTGTACAGTAAAGGTAAGGTTAATGATTTCAATTTCGTTCTTCGTCTTCTCTAATTTTGCCCTAATTCTTCATCTACTTTAATTGGTTCAGGGACCATTATGCAAGTTCATAGGATGGGTGAATGATTATGATCAGGACTGTGATTGTATGGCGTTTAGGATGAAACTTGAAGAACAAAATCGCAAATTGAAGCTTTACCTAGTTATTAGCTGGGTTTTTTTTGTTTCAGTCCTTATATATAAAGTGTAGGTTTAGTAATGAAGTTGTTAGTATTTTGGTATGTGTATTTTGTAATGTTATTTGTATTAACAAAAAAATTTCAATTTTAGTTACAATATATTGTGTAATCATAATGTGGTGTTATCAGTTGGTGTTCAAATTTAATGAAAATGTGGTATTTGCAACATATGCAATATACCATTCAATACATGTAGCATCCAATATAACAATTAAAAAGGACAAAAACTAAAATATCCAAGATAACCATTGACCATTAACATAAAGGGACATCCAAAATAACAACATAGTGTTATGGCATACAAATAGTTATCCTAGACAGCAACAAAGTATCAAAATACAAAACATAACAACAAAGTAATATGGCAATAAATGCCTAACAAAAACATAGTTATCCTTCATGATCATGATACCAAACTACAAATTCTCAAAGCATGGGGCTTTTTCCTTTGTTTCCTACTCCATTTTGTACACCACCAGTGCTACCTGCTGCACCTTCTCCTGTTGTATTCCCTGCTGCACCTTCTCCTGTTCCATTCCCAGTCTGTGATTGTCCCTTGCAGGTCCTTCCATTATGGCCCACATTTCCACATTTTGTGCATGTTACAGATTTCCATTTTGTGGACACTCCATCATCTTCTGTTGCAGATCTTCTTCTCTTTTTTTTTGGTCTGCCAATAGGGACACGATACTTTGGTGGTATCAACTTGGTAGGACATGTGCTTTTTTCCCACAATAACCTCCCATTAATAGGTTCAACTTTGAATACATACATTTCTTTCCAAGTCTTGAGCCAATAAGTTGGGTGTACCCATGTCTCAGGTATTCCAACATTTTCATTGTTGAGCCTCATATCCCATATAGCTGCTATACTATGTTTGCAGGGTATGCCTGTCAGTTCCCACCTATTACATGAACAAGTTTGTTGGTCCATATTAACCACATACTGATTAGTACCTTCACTTGTAACCTGGTACTTCCCATTGCCACAGAACACTGCCCTACACTGTACTGCCCTTTCTTTAATTTTTTCAAGGGTCTTAGTGGCTGTAGGAGTTAATGGGCCATTAGCTTTATCAATTTCTTTTTGAACCATGACAATTTTCCTCATGATATACTCCCTAATAAACTCCAAGCAACTGATAATTGGCTTATCACGACCCTTCACTATCTTGCTATTCAATCTCTCACACATATTATTCAACAAAGCATCACAATGTGCCCTCCCTAATAAAACACAACTGTATTAGATTATATTTAAAAATTATACACTTATAAACATAATATTATATACCTAAGAAGTGGGATCTGGACCAGTGCTTAGGTGGAATAGAATTAAGCCAATCATATGTTTCACTGTTAAGTTTCTTTAGTTCTTCCATGGCACTGTTGAATTGTGGTATGGTGGTACATGTTGCACATTTCCAAAGACAATCCTTGAATTCCTTGCCCCTCCATTTACGTTTCATGTTCTCATGAAGATGCCTTAGGCAATATCTATGCTCTGCTGCTGGGAAAAGTTTCTCAAGTGCAGGCAATAACCCCTAAATCATCAAAAGAGTGAAGTTGCTTATTGAATTGTAAAACATGCATGTGAAAATGAATGGAGAACTTTATTTACCTTCTGTCTATCTGATATGAAAGTGAAGTTGGAGTTTGCATACAAACCAAGATCATCTCCTAAGTTAATTAAAAACCAGGTCCATGAATTAAAGTTCTCTGCTTCAACAACTGCATATGCCAAAGGGTATGTGCAATTGTTCCCATCTAAACCCTGAATTATCATGTCAAACACAGTAATAAGCAAACAATTAACTATGGTCAAACATTAATCAAATACTAAAATATGATTATGCACATACCACTGCTGTCAGGATCATACCATGGTATGGACCCTTCATGAATGCACCATCAAGCCCTAGTAAATATCTTTTCCCTGCTGCAAATCCACTTTTCAGTGGACCAAGACAAATGTATACTCGTTCAAATACCCTGGTCTCAGATGCATAACATGGTTCACTTTGCACTTGAAGTTTGACTGTGGTGTTTGGATTTCTACTCTGCACCTCCTGTAAGTAGTCTCTTAGACATGAGTACTGAGCAGAAAAATCTCCCCTAATTGATTCCAGGGCTTTCGTTTTCCCTATGAACTTTCATGTCTGACAATCCAAGTTGGTATTTCTTCTCAAGCATCTCACGTAATGCTCTAAGTGGTATTTCTGGGTTTGCCTCCACTGTGTCAACAATCTGTTCAGAGAGAAACTTGTAGTTACATGCCCTAATTTTCCTTGTTTGAAGGCACGTATGTTGCTTTTCATAGGTCTTAACAGTCCAGTTAATGTCTTTTTTCCACTTACTCACTAGTAGGACCCATGGGCATTTATGAATAGAACATCTTTCACTTTCTTTTTCTTTTGACTTGGTCCCACTTTGTCATTACTTTTGCTGGTCCCACCTGTTTCTAATATCCCAAGGTTTGGTATTGTCCCTTTGCAAACCACTCTAATCCTATTTTTGTCATTCTTGACGAAGTCTAACTCCCTTCTACTCTGTATGGAATGAAGATAAATTTGTTGTTTAACTTCCTTGGCTGTGCTAAAAGTCTGGTGGATGTAAAATGGATCTTTGACAGCAGCTGCTTCATTCTTATGTGCTCTTCGTAAATCTCTTATCTTCTTCCTTTTTTTACTAGCTTCACCCTCATCTGATGAAGATGCAGATACAAATTCTTCAGTGTTTATAACCTCTAATTCTTCATCACCTTCTACTGCTTCATCTCGATCATCAGGAAAACTTCCAACCCACTCCACCTCTTTGTCAATGTTGAGGTGAAAGTTCTTCATATCAACCTCTGGATCATCTAACAAATTATCTTCATCAACTATGTAATCACTATCTTGACTGTATTCACTATCTTCAGTGTCATCACTATCATGACTGTCTTTACTAGCTTGACTGTCTTCACCTGCTTTTTCACTATTTGGTTCATCTTGTTCCATAGGAGTCCCACCAAAAGGTTCACACCATTCAAATGTATCATCCCAACCATCAACATTAGGACATGTGCTTCCTATCATTGGTTCAGTCAAAGGGCTTTCAATTCTTGGTATATAGGCAGGGGTTGACTCAACTGTTTCACTCAATGTAACAAGGGGTTGTTCCAAGGTTGTTTCAAGTAATGTACTAGGGGGTTCGTCCATAGTTTCTACATTCTCAAAAACAGGGGCTTCTTCACTAGGACAATCCCCTGAATTTGACCATGTCAATAACAAGCTTTTACGACAAAGGGACTCAGGAATTTCGTGTATCTTTATCTTTGCAGGGTTTGGGGACATTTGATACGTATGCAGCTTGGTTTCCCAAAACTCTGTATACACTTCTATCACCTTGTGTTCATACACGTATGACCTAAAGTGGTTTATATCTTCGTCACAACCCAAAGCATACAACCCAAAATCTAAATCCCAGGTTGGTCGTTTGAAATGATAATAAATACTTTTACCTGGTTCCACACAATCAAGCAATTCCATTATCTCGTCCATATCATGCACCGAGAACAAGTCACTATCAATGCCATCAATATATTTCATCTTCCCCTTTATGTATTTGCGGCCTGGAAACTTCGTAAAAACTCCACCATAGTTCAATCGTATCGAGAACATACATGGATTGTCAGCTGCGAACCCAAAAAAAAATTACGTTTTAGGAACGTATAATGGATGATCAACTGAAAATGTAGAAAATTTTACCGTATGAGCTTTGGAGATCGTATTCCTCCCATTCTTGCCTAATCCTCCAGTTCACCATCGTAGAAAACTAGGGTTTTCTCGTGCAATGCTAAGGGTCGACGGAGGATAAAATGAGAAATGATCGGTTATCGAAGTCGCGCCATACTGGTTCATGTATACAAACCCTGAAAAGACGAAAATGCCCCTGCGTGCAAGGCACGTGGGTAGCTTAAATGGAAGAATTTAACAGTTAACGTGCATAGGGACTAATCGTGCAAGATAAATAACAACGAGGGACTGCACGAGTTAAATTTTGGAAATAGGGACTAAACATGCTTTCTGGCATGTGCACGAGGGACCAACGGTGTAATTTATCCTAAAATCATTATGCCAAATGCGAAGCTAGTTAGTTCATCTATCAAGTGTTATAAAATATGTACTTTCTTTTTCCAATATATCTTTGTAGAAACATAGCCATGGAGTATGAAGTAGGAATCAAAAGACGAAAGTTCTCAAAACAAGGAGAGAAGACTTATGCTATTTTTTCTTTTCAAAATTTTATGCTACATGTGATTTTACTTGACTGCTTTTGTTGTGCAATTTTGCAAAAGATTAATATAAGTATTTTATTTGGTATTCTATGATACATATACTCGTACTTGATTCCACATATGTTCACCGTGGGACATAAACCCTCAACCTCGAGGAGGAGGACAATACTTGATACCGTTGGGCTAAAAATCCTTTTGTTGGTAGACTGCATGTTTGAGATTTTTTGTGTATATTGTAAAAGCTGATTTTCTTATCCATTTTTTGTAACTATCTACGGCCCATCGCTTTGCGCAAAAAACTAATTTCCTCTAAAAACCAAGGTTCTAGAAAGCTTGCCATGGCTCCACAATGGCGCGTTTGTCGTCATGTTTTACCAAACACTGCCTTAAATCATACATGTGTATAAAAATGAATAATAGTTGAAAATACATATAAAAATATTAATTATATACAAAATTGTCGCATTATGTCACGCCTTACAAACAACGTGGCTCGCCAAGAGTTTTCTTGAGGCTTGACATGTGACATCCCCAAAATCACGGCCAGAAAAGACTGGTTTGTTTATGCTTTGTTTAAAAATCAGAGTAACATTTTAAATAAAAGTGTTGCGGAATTTGTCCCAAAACAATAATATGATAAAGATTTATCAAAAGCATTTCCATAGAAATGTATTTCATTAAAAGACTCGGGATGTCATGTTCGTACATATCAAAAGCATAAACAGTACAATACAAGCCTTACTACATTATTTCATATCTACAGGCCTATATCCGTAATCCCTCGTCCAAACATCATATATATGCTCAAACGCCACTACCTGTAATACATAAAACTGAGTGGGTCAAGCTTGGGAGCCTGGTGAGCACATAGGGTTTTCAACCCACAATAAATAGTTTATTAATTTCATCAATCAACAATAACCCGATTACCCGTTCCCGTTATCCTCACTTTACGTCCCTAAACACCTATCATAAGGGACCTAGCCTAAGGATCATCATCGGGACGGACACTGCTACTAAGGGGATTCCTCAGCAATAAATGTCCTAATAGGCAACCATGTGGGGGATGGAGTACATCTGGTGAGCACACAGTTCAAATAAACACACAGTTCAAATAAACACCTACAGGTTGCGAGCCTGCTAGTGTTCCACTGGACTGTCTAGAATAGTCCGTGGTCGTCATCTATACTCCGCTAGATGACTGGATCATCAATAACATCTATAACGAGGCCTCTCATTATTTTATTTTGTCACACAGCAACTATTACATCTACCCATGTTTTACCCAACACATTTTGTAGATATAAAATACATATACAGTTTAAATCTTTGAAAACATGTATAAAACGTTCATCCAGCATAGATAGCAAGTATTCAGATAATATGCACAAATAGCACGTAATTTATATTAAATACTTCATATCTATGTGTAAGTTGAAAGTAAATATGCACTCACCTGAAAAGGTGGTGATTCCGAACTCAGACAGCGCTTCGCTTCTTAAAAAGAATTTTCTTCGACGAAACCTAGTATTATTACCACTAGAGTTTAGTTTATTATTCGTCGAGACTAATTAATAGTCTAGCTATTATTATTATTATTATATAAGCGTCAAAAAAATACTTATATAACCCATAATAATAGCCCAAGTATTTATTATAAGTTCCTAATAACGTTACTATAATTAAATAAAAGCTATATTAAAAATAGCGTAGGCGTAGCTCACTTACAGCGGGTTTTATAGAAAACCGGGCTTTGCTTGGAGCAGCGTTCCCGAGCCGAAAAGCTCTTCTTCTCGGAGCCTTCGAGCACTCCGGGGCTTCCGCCTCGTGCTAGGGAGGTTCCCTAGGCTTTTCGGGGGATTTCGGGGCTAGAGAGAGGTTCTAGAGAGAGAGAGAGAGTAAAGAGAAGAAAGAATGGGAAAGTGTGAAGAAAATGAGGGTGGGAGAGGTGGTATTTATAGGGTGAAATGTGGCTGAACTTGGTGCCACATGTCACCATCTGGTGGCAAGCCTTGGGGAGAAAGCAATGGCCAAGATTGTGCCACATCACCCATTTTCGCACAACACACTTCCGACTTCTAAAATCCGTAACTTTCACATACGACCTCCGTTTTTGACGTTCTTTATATCCACGCGTAGGTAATAATAAGATCTACAACTTTCATTTTGACACCGTCAGCTAATTCTCGACCGATCTTAAATTTAACAGTACAAGGAGATTATACTGTTAAACGTCTGCGTAAAATTAATAACTTCTACATACGGACTCTGTTTTTGTCTGTCTTTTTACCGTTGATTTCCTATTAATGAGATCTTCAACTCTCATTTACGTTGCGTAAGCCAAAAACCGCTCGAACTAAAATTCGAGTTTCAGGCCGTGCACTGCTAAGCCGAATCTTAGAAAAATCATAACTTCTTCATACGAAGTCAGATTTGGGCGTTCTTTTTATCGATGTTCTTAGTTTAACATATTCTACGACTTTTGTTTAGATTGATAAGGCTAAAAAGTCTTCTATCGTAAATTCACTATTTACGTCTCCCGGTGCCGTGCCGGTTTTGCCGTAAAACTTCGGCGGGCCATAACTTCTTCGTTATAGCTCGGATTTCGGCATTCTTTATATGTACGGAAACCTTGAGACGTATTCTAAAACTTTATGTAGAGATATCGGGATTATCTCACACTTTAATTTTGACGCTCATTTTTATTCTTTATTAATTATACATTTATAATTAAATAATAAACACATAAACACACATAATTCACATAATACTCAAATATTTTATATTTATTACTTCAAAAAGAGTTACAATAGTTGACCTAGACTATTACATTGACAAAAATGCTTAGCCCTGAAAACTCAGGCGTTACAATTCTCTCCCCCTTAGGATGATTCCGTCCCGGAATCATGCATCAGCAAACAGTTGTGGATAGCGACTCATCATGTCATCCTCTGTTTCCCAAGTGAGATTCGGCCCATTCGAATGTTTCCATCGGACTAGCACCAAGTTGACCATCTTGCGTCATAACTTCTTAGTCTTACGGTCAATAATTGCCTCAGGCTCTTCGATCAGCCTTTTATTCTCATCCATCCTTAATTCCGAGATTGGAATTATGTCGGGAACATCTCCCATGAATTTCCTCAAATAACACACATGGAAGGTGTTATGAATACCATTGAGTTCTTCGGGCAATTCCAGCTTGTAAGCTTGGTTCCCAATCTTCTGAAGAACTTTGAACGGTCCAATAAACCTTGGACTCAACTTTCCTCGTTTCCCAAATCGTATAAGTCCCTTCCACGGTGAGACTTTAAGTAAAACGGAATCCCCAACTTCGAAGGTTATCGGTCGTCTTTTCTTGTCAGCATAGCTCTTCTGACGATCCTGAGTTGCTAACATTCTTTCCCGAATCACCTTCAATTTCTCAACAGTCTCATGGACTATCTCGGGGCCCATAAACTGCTTCTCTCCGGCTTCAAGCCAACAAGACGGCGTACGACACTTCTGTCCATACAAGACTTGATAAGGTGCCATCTTGATGCTCGAGTGAAAACTATTGTTGTAGGAAAATTCTACTAGAGGTAAGTGTTCATCCCAATTCCCTTGGAATTCGAGGGTACATGCTCTCAGCATATCTTCCAACGTCTGAATCGTTCTTTCGCTCTGACCATCAGTTTGCGGATGGTAAGCAGTACTCAAACACAACTTTGTACCCAACTCCTCTTGTAGACTCCTCCAAAACCTCGACGTGAAACGACTATCACGATCTGATACAATCGTAAGAGGGACACCGTGAAGTCTTACAATTTCCTTCACGTAAGCATTTGCGAGCTTATCCATAGACCACTTCTCGTTGGCTGCTATGAAGTGTGCACTCTTGGTGAAACGATCCACGACTACCCAAATCATGTCGTGTCCATTCTTCGTTCTGGGCAGTTTAGTCACAAAATCCATGGTGATGTCTTCCCATTTACCCATGGGTACAGGTAAAGGTTCTAAACTCCCATACGGTTTCTGATGTTGTGCCTTAACCCTCGCGCATGTTACACACTCAGCCACATACTTCGCAACATCGAGCTTCATCGTCAGCCACCAGTAGTAGGGCTTTAGGTCCCTATACATTTTAGTGCTACCGGGATGAATCGAGTACATGGTCTTGTGTGCTTCTTCCATTAGAAGATCTCTTATTCCTCCCGTCTTAGGTACCCAAATTCGATCTTGGAATACCTTCAATCCTCGACTGTTCGTACCGAACACTAACGTTTTTCCCAAATGTTCTTCCTTTCGGTCATTCTTTTCTAAGGCTTCTTCTTGAGCTTTCCTGATACTTTCCACAATCGTCGAGACGACTTCAATTCTTAACGCTCTTGGCTTTTTTCTTTCAAGATTGACTTTCCGACTGAGAGCATCAGCAACAATATTTGCTTTACCTGGGTGGTAAAGTATCTCACAGTCATAGTCCTTGAGAAGTTCTAGCCAGCGTCGTTGCCTCATGTTCAACTCCTTCTGATTAAAGAGATACTGGAGACTCTTATGATCAGTGAAGAGCTTGCACTTCGTGCCGTGAGGTAATGCCTCCATATCTTTAAGGCGAATACTACGCTGCCAACTCCAGATCATGAGTGGGGTAGTTCTTTTC